TGGAAAAAAAGTGACTTATGACCATTTTTCACACTTAGGACTATTGCAGCATCCCCATGGCCACATGATGAAAATTCAGACACTTGGCAACTAGTTCATACTTACGATGGTTGCAGTGTCCCGGGATCATGTGGTCCACTTTTGGAACCTTCTGACAAGCAAAGTCAGTGGGGAAGTCAGATTCACTTAACAACCCGTGTTGCTAACTTAACAACTGCAGTGATGCACTTATCAACTGTGGCAAGAAAGGTCATAAAGTGGGGCAAAATTCACTTAATAAATGCCTTATTTAGCGACATAAATTTTGGGCTCAATTGTGGTCGTACGTTGAGGACAGCCTGTAAATATATTTCCAGGAAAGAAAAGAATAAGCTACCATACTTGAAACATTGAATGTTGTTACAGAACTAGAAGAGGGACAGAAAACTGCTACCAAAGCAACCAGAAATCTGAAACGGTCATCAGTTGTGGAAGTAATACGACTGGGAAATCTTAAAAACAAAATAAAATACAAATTGGTGAGGAATTACAGAAGCTGATCAAACAGATTTAGATACAGGTAGTCTTTGACTTATGATCACAGTTGGGACCAGAATTTACATTGCTAAGCAAGGGGTTTGTTCAATGAGTGGAGCCCAGTGTTATGACTTTTTGCCACAGTTAAGTGAATCAGACAGTTGTTAAATGAATCTAGCTTGCACCATTGACTTCGTTGTCCAAAGCTGGCTGGGAAGATTGCAGATGGCAATCCCATGACCCTGGGATGTTGCAATCATTGTAAGTACATGCCGATTTCCAAAAAACCCCAAATTTTGATCATGTGACTGCAGGGGCAATGCAATGGTTGTAAGCGTGAGGACTGATCATAAGCCATTATTTTCAGTGCTTTTGTAACTTTGAACAGTTGCTAAACGAATGCTTGCAAGCTGAGGATGATCTGTTTGCAGAATAAAGCTCAGCATTGATAGTTTTTTGACGGAAGGATGAACTTCACATACTATCCTCTCTATACTAGCTCCTAGGACAGATATGTCAAACACGCGACATCACGTGATGTCACGCAATGTATCAGGACAGTTTTGCCATTGCTGGCAATGGAGTGGGCGCGGCTTCCGCCTGACCCATCTGGCCCATGGGCCAGCAATTTGACACCCCTGCCCTAGGACATACGTAGGTAGATACTATTACGTTCCTCTGCTGTTTATAGATTTTTCGGGTAGAATTAGATTGGGAAAGCTTGATTCTAGAACTTATATGTTTAATTTTTTTCATCAACAGTGCTTCTAGTGCTTATAAGAACACTTTATTGCTACCAGGGGGATGATATGTTTCACCATTTTTAACAGCATAGGTACACACACATACACACACACTGGTTGGCTTTTGTATTTGGATCTGGAATTTTCTCCTAGGTCAGACTAGCAAAGATGTTATGGCTTCCTTCTTCCTTTTCACTGCACCTTTGTTTTGGGCCCATTGTGATCTGGATGAATTGAAGGAAGGACCCTTTAGATTGGTATCCTTTAGATTTCTTGGGCAGGATTACAGCTGTGATACTCCCAAGTGTGAGTGGAAAGAATTTCAGTTTAATACTACCAAGGATAGCAATTTGGGAAAGACTGGACAGGTGGGCAATTGCCCCTGTCTTATTAAAGAAGATTTGGATGTTTTCAGGTAATTATCTAGAATATTTTAAAAAGTAATTAAAATAGATACTTAGGTATCAAAAGTTATATGGATAAACTTGAGTTTTTTGTTTTTTTTTCTATAATTAGATTACGCTGCTCCGGTTGCAGCTCTTTAAGGGAGGATGTTTGATTCCTTTAGATCCCTGTTTCTGTATTGAGGGCAGAATGAAGTTGGACTGCGATTTAAAAGAGACTTTTTTCTTGAATATTTAGATATTGCCAACCAGATGGCAGAAACTGAATATCTGATAGCACAACTATTATTTAACTGTCATAATTTGAAAACAAGCATTCCTGTAGATTGTGATAGTACTATGGTATATATGTGTATATAAAAACATTGGATTGGATTCAGATTGCCAGATGTCTAGTGGAAAAAGGGAATGCTCTTTCAGTCAGTTCTTTTGCCACCTGCATTCTCCTCATGCCCCCCCTCCCAGACCTGCTATGAAGGTTTGAGAGGCCTTTTGAAATAGCTGTGTAAAGTTGCACTGGAGAGGAAAGGAGAAACCAGAAAATATTTCCCCCACACCAGGGGGGTCAAACGCAGAACGTCACGTGACGTGTCGTGACGTATCACAACTTTTTTGTCATTGCCGGCAATGGGGTGGGCGCAATTTCGCTATGATGCATCTGGCCCACGGGCCGGCAGTTTGACACCCCTGTCCTACATCTATTGCTTCATTTTGATCCCTTTTATCAAATTGCCAGTGCCAGCTGTAAAAAAAAAAAATTAATGCAACCCTCTACAGTTTATTTATTCTTTATTAGCCTGTCTCATTGGCCAAATCAATTTGTACACTGATTAATAAAGCTTCATAGCTAAAAGAGTCTGGGATCTTCTGAATATAGAATATATTCTTTATCAGTGAAGTGTACATTGTTGCATCAAACTTTTAAACAAATTTAGACAGTATGGTAATTTCCACGTTAACAATTTTGGAAATGCAGTTATTAGAGCCAATTTGTTAATATTTTTTAGTCCTACAGAGGCAAAGCCCTTACATAACATTGATGCTATATTAATGCTATCTCATTTTTTTATCCTGAAACCGAGAGTCTCCTGATTGTCTTGACATTTGTACTGCATCCTTCATTGTTTTTTAATACATAAAAAAGTTTATGGAACTTTTGAAGTTATATTCATATGCTGCTATTTCCTATATAAAGCCAAGATGCCCTTTTTTTATACCAGTAACAAACTCCTTTTTAAATTCAAGTTCTAGGACAGTGGTGGCGAACCTATGGCATGCGTGCCAGAGGCGGAACTCAGAGCCCTCTCTGTTGGCACGCGTGCCACTGCCACCAGCAGCAGATCCATCAGGCCCCCACCGCCACCTGGAGCAGGAACACCGCCCAGCATAAAGCTTGAGTAGAGGTGGTAGAGCAGAGGTCACCAACCATTGTCGATTGGTGGACTGGAAGAAAAAGGAGGGGGAAGCATTTTACTTGCGTGCATGCGCACAAAGGGCCGCGAGCATCAACGTACTGCAAAGGGGTTGGGCTAGTGCCTGCATGATACTCATTAGTCCTGCCCTGTTCTTAAGTGGTGCAGCACCTTGTATCTGCACCCCATGGTGCGGCGGTGGCCATTTTTGCGCCTTGCAGCATGGTAGCCCATTTTTGTGCTCCTGGTTTTTGCATGCCAGAGGCAGCACTCAGAGGAGCCTCCCTGCCCCCCCCCCCCGAGGGCAGCACAATGCTGTTGCGGCCCTGGCACTTTGCAATAAATAAGTGGGTTTTGCGGTTTGGGCACTTGGTCTCTAAAAGGTTCGCCATCACTGTTCTAGGACTTATATGAGGACTGAGCTGGGGGATGATATTGAAAAGAAAATAGATGCATAGATCATTTGCAAAGCAGTTTTTGGTTTATGCTACTCAAGCTGCAACTTGCATTAGCACAAACACTTGTTTTTTTAAAACCTAAGTGGTTTAAAAACAGGAAAAACAGGCAACTTGTTTTGGGAAGAAACTCAAATTTAAATAGTTTTCTTTAGTATCACCTTAATTTCAGATGCTGTAAAAGTTCAGTACAGAATTGGAAAGATAGTTAAGGAGCCACACATGTTATCTTTAAGAAACCCATAAACCATCTTGTTATGCTTTGAAATATTGGACTGTGCTCTTGATAAATTGTTTGTAGAACTTGAATAGGATGGTAGGATAATACAAGTCTTAACATATATCATCTTTTAAATCGCAGTAGAGATTTAAAACTGACAGATAAATGTCAACAGTTAAAATTGTTTTGCCCATACACAATAGATAAGAAGTCAGTACGCCATATATTGCTAATATTTCTGGATATTTCAGATCCAATTGTCAGTTGCAATAACTCATTTTTCTTTAAATGAGAAAAAGCAGTTCCTCATAATGAGAATACCAGACATCCAACTAGAATTATTTAAAGGTGTTTTTCAAAGATCACCTTTCCACCTTTAATAGCACCTATGCAATCCAGTAGTCATAAATATTTTCAGTAGTCAAGCATTTATGATTAAGTGTATTTGATTTGAAATGGATTAATAGAAATGGTTAAAAGAATCACGCTCAGCTGAACTTTTGGTTCACCAGCAAATAATTTTTAGTATTAAATTTAAAAAAGATATTTTATCCACGAAACATTGAATCAGATCCTTAGCTAGACATATTGGAAGGGGAAGAGGGGAGACGATAATTTTGTACAAAAAGTTAGAATTCAGAAGAATGCCCTGAATTCCATTTTCCAAAGTTGGACTTCCATTTACTACATTTTTGAGCTGATGAATTGAAGGGGATTAACCCAGTGGAAAAACAATTAGGTATTCTTGGGGAGCCTCGTTTACTAAAAAAACTGCTGTTTGGCATTTTCTATTTTGCCAGGAAACATCAATGGGCTCCCTGCATGGTGTTAGTTAGATTTAAGCCTCAGCAGAGTCCATTTGAAAAGCTAATCAAGACTGGGAGGATGAAGAACTTTCTCTCATGGAATTTCTAAGCCCCAAATGAGAGATTCTAGCCTCCGAATGAATTGCGGTTCCTTGAAAAAAACAGTTTTTCACACCCCTAATTATGACCAACTGAAGATATATAGATCTCAGAGTGTGACTGACATAGAATCCAACCCCAGCTTAGAATATGGTTTGGAATGTGTAGTTCATGCATGCAATATAGTAGCAGGGTTCTGTGGCTAGGACCTTTTGATTTAATGTTGCCAGTTGCATACTGTTGGTTAATTACGTATGCATTTTAGTATACTAATAAGTTACCTGCGTTCAGTAACTTGTGGCCTCTAACTGCTTCTTCTCTTCCTTCCTTTTTGTCATCCTGCAGTGTTCTGTGCCAAGGTCTTTGTGGCTAGGCTGCTCCAACCTGGTAGAGAGCATGTGCGCACTGAGATGCCTGCAGAGCATGCCCAGTGTCAGATGTCTCCAGGTGCCTTTCTTCTTTCTTGTTGTAAATGTGTTATGCGTATGCTGTGGTCATTGTTAAAATCTCTCTGGATTCAATTTAAATTGTATCAGTCTTCTGAATGTTTTCTGTATGATTCTCATTAGTTTATGCAGGAGTCTTCCTTAAGAGGGCTCTGTAGGATGCACTCTTAGTCTTAACTAAAAACGGTAAGCATTTTTGCTCTACCTGTTTCTTCAGTGCAAATGAAGAATGCATGTTGCCTATGTTCATTTTGTGTGTTACATGCTGCAATTATTGGAATAATGGATGAAAGGAAGTATCAAAATCTTTACATATAAATAAGCAGGTATAAATCAATTTAATATATACTGCTTTTGACAATATGCTCTCTAATGTACATACACACAAACAGAGAGAGAGAGAGAGAGAGAGAGAGAGAGAGAGAGAGAGAGAGAGAGATTTTAAAGAAAGGAAATTAGCTCTTTTAAATGTTAAACCATATAACATAATAATGACATGAAATCTGCTTAATTGGCCTGAATTTCTTTAAAATGGGAAAATATTTTTAATTAAATAAAAACTGAACAAACAATACACTTATTAGATATTTTGCTTTAAGTTGCAAATTAAGGTTTGTATAGAATTAGATTATTTAGGTTATTATAAAAAGAGCTGAATTAGTAAAATATTTTGTCTTATTCATATATTTGACATCTTATACATGTAATTTTAGCAATGGAATTAATGATAGGGTAGCATAGAAATGTTCTTAATTAGCTAAGTACAAAAAACAAAGAAAAATGCCTAAAATTAGAAACGAAGGGGTAAAGCTAAAAAAAATAAAAACATACAGAACATGCATTTACAGACATACATGTCTCAGTAAACTAAAGCCATTCATCCATGGTTGATTTTTATTAAACAATTCTGCAAAGAACTGAAAATGCTTGATCATTTTATGTAATAATGGGCTATTTTAAAATATGTCTAGTAAGCATTATCTGCTGCGAATTGCATAGATCTCACTTATTTAGATTTCACTGCACTGATTGAGTCTTTCCACAATGTGCCAAAGAATGGAACATTATTTAAGTAGGCAAAGAAATTGTCATTCTCCAGCACAGGAGATGGAGAATCCACCAATGGGTTTTCTCTGTCTGCCTGCTCTTGAGACCAAGTAGCCAAACTTGACACACCCTCTCTTGCTAGGAGACCCAGTCTTAACTTGGTCTCAGCTCTTGAAGACGTATCAGGTTTGGCTCTCAGCAGATAGCAGGTTAGAAAACTCCATTGGTGAATTCTCCTTTCCTTTAGTTATCCTAATATTTGACTAAAACAGTAATTTGGAATCCCCTTTAACAAAATTTCCCCACAAGCACTGGCCTCAGTGCTAAATCAATCTGGTCTCAAGAGCAGGCAGACAGAGAAAACCCATTGGTGGATTCTCCATCTCCGTACTGAGAAAAGGCGTTCAGGTAAGACAACGCCCCATCTTGAAAGTTGACCTGGAGTTTGTGAATATAGTGTGTACATACGCTTAAATTTGAGGAAGAACTCCTTCCTCTTCCTCCATTATTGAAAAGAATACTTGTCCCAACAATTTATCTAAAAAATTATTTTCCTAAAGTTATCTGAAAATGCATCAGTGCTTTCAGAAAAATAAGGGATTTGATTCATAAGGTGAACCTGAAGTTCTCTGTGCTGGCTGTAACTGTTTTCTGCAGATAATAAAGTGACTAGTAATAGTAAGAGAGTTTTTCTTTCTCATGAGTGAATTACATCCAGGTATTTGTAATTCTATTCTTAAGCAAAGCAAACCCTCTCAGTTAATACTCATTTTCTTCTGTGACTTTATATCCTTGTTAATGCTCTCCATTCTCAACTGAAAGGAAATATATTAGTAGTTCATCCTGAATGTTGTAATAAATACAATTTATTAAATAGACTATATGGTTATAATTGTGATACAGTTCTGCTGACTTCTGTTCAGTTAAGCCGCTTTTCAATCCCCAACATAACATGTAAAGTTAAATTCTCTGAAGCTGGGAGTCTATTCAAATGTAAAGTACATGCTGGAGAAGGAGGATGGGAAGTTCTTTTTTAATGAGTCTGACAATAATATCAGTTTTTTTGTTTTTTAAAAAACAGCTTTTTCTGGTATAGTATAAAAAACTGCATATCTGTGCTTAAACACAAATGAACTGTAGAATCAGAAATTGTATAATGGAACACCAAGACACTCACATAAATAAAATTCAAAGAAAAATCCCTTCAAAATGAATAATTGGGCAAATAATATCAGAAATAAAATGACGTTTTAAATGGGTATGCTACATTTCTGAGATACTGAGCATTGTGTTTTTCAAAGTCAGGGGAAATACTCAAAATATGAAGTTTTGATGGACCTTGGTGATTCTAACCAACAAATTTTAAATGGACTCTGGCGCCTAATTCAAATGTTTCGGAAGCTACATGTTGTGAAGAAGTTATTGGATAAGTCAAATTCACTTGGGATCGTTATTCCTAAGTCTACATGTTGATATTCTCTAATTTACTCTCTTACTGACTACTTACGGGAGGTGAAGTCTAACATATTCTTAATTGAACTATGAAAGGGAGGCTTCAGGATTATGATCCAGAATTCACCAAAACTTTCATCTCCATGAAATGTAATGAGAAAAAAAAAAAGCAATATTGGCCTAAAGAATTTTTTTGACAGCTTATTTATTGACCTGAAGTTATATTGCTATTAATTATCCTGGAGGGATTGATCAGTATAGAAAAAGAGTGGTAACAGTAATAATAAAATCCTACTTAGCTAATCCTTCATTCTACTACCACATGGATATTATCTGCCTCTGAGAAGAATCCTAGAAATTAGTTAGCTTTATTTTTCAAGAATATTTATTGTTTATATGCTTGTAAATTACTTTGAAAGAAAGTTGTTAACTAAAAGATGGGCTATAGACCATAGATACTAAATAAATGAAATGAATGACATGCTGAGAAAAGGCGTTCAGGTAAGAACGCCCCATCTATTGCAAATGCAGAAAAGTATGAATGATAAGGGAACTGCTTAATGGTTAAGGTAATGGGCTTAGAAACCAGGAAACTATTAGTTGCGTCTTAGGCATGAAGCCAGCTGGGTGATTTTGGCCCATTTCCTCTTTCTCAGCCCTAGGATGGAGATAGTAGTAAAGGTAAGATAAACCTTTATTACAGTCCTTGACTAACATGTACATATACACCCACGCACACTAAAAAGCACATTAAAAATGGCAGTTTAAATAAATTATATAAGTTAAAGAGGGGGAAAAGAGAAGAGTTGTAAGCATATCACAGAAATGCAGTTTCATTGGACAGTTTTGGTTGCCTCACTCCAGCAGCAAGACCGAATTTGGCAACATTATGGGTAATAGGGATTTTAAGATCTGCTAAAAGATAATAGCTAAACATCTTTTATGGAATTGGAGTCATGGGAGTCCCAAGCTGTGGAAGGGAATATTTTGATATTGGCTATCAATAACTGCTAAAGGGAGTGGGTTGACTCTAGTGCAGGGGTGTCAAAGTGCCGGCCCACAGGCCGGACGCATCATCCAGAAGCCGCACCCACCGCATTGCTGGCAATAGCAAAACTGTCCCGATATGTCTCACGATGTCACGTGGTGTCGCGAGTTTGACATGTCTGCTCTAGTGAGAGCAAATGCTCTGTGAGATCTGTTGTTTATTAGAGACTGACAATAATCAGCTGGCTTTCTGGTAAGCCTTAGTGCTAAGCTAATGCTAGCCTGTATCAAGGATCCTCTTCTCCAGTGAACTTTTGCTTGATGGTATCTCAGTAGTTAAAGAAGCCATAGGGTACCAGTTTTTGTCAAATTTATACTTGCAGGTAGATTGGAAGTTATCTCTGTTTTTTTTGGGCAATGGCAAACTACTCTTGAAAATCTTCAAATAAAACTGCAGGGACTAGTCCAGGCAACTACCAGGAGTCAAGCCTTATACAAAGGCATGCGCCCACACAGATATAAATGTTAAATGCTTTTAAAATTGTATGGTATGGAAAAGGCATATTACGATTTTAATAAAGAAAGATAAATACTCTTCCAGAGAGGATTTATGGCAAGCTATATGTCCCTTCTTGAATGGGATGACATCGACAGTGGAGATTGTAATTGGATATAAGATCTGGATTGACAAGAAGTCTCTTTCCAGAGTAAGGGGAGCGTGTGAGATATCCCATGTGTACTCCATATAGCTTCTCCTTTGTGAGTAGATTGCAGGAATATGTGATCAGCTTCTGAGTTGAGTGAGTAGGAGTCAGGGATTCCATGTTCGCTCACAATCTTAACACAGCCTTTTTGATGTACAAAATGCAGGGTGAATTCCTCCTTGTAAAAGAGGCTTGACATTTGAGTTTAAGGAATTAGAGAAACGTGTTTTTTTTAATAAACAGTAATAGAAAATTTAAAGTAATGATTTTGAAGAATTAAAAATGAACTAAGGCTCTAGATGATTTTGAAATTTGTAATATAATAATCTTGCCCTTGGAAAATTCTGATTGTTTTGGTTTAGTGGAAAGATAACATGATAAGACGGTACTCTAGAGGGAATTGCAGAAAATGAAAGATTACTTAGCAGAGACAAATACACAGATTAGACACATTAATACAAAATGGAATAAAATGTTTTAACTGGCTGTTTTTTTGGTGATTTGGGACTCATAGACTGAGAAATTAAGAATAAAATCATGGGTGGATGATGGGCAAACACTGGTAGGGAAAAACAGCTTATACCAGATAAAATTGAAATCAAATTGAATGTGGATTTAAATATGGCATGCTATAAGAACGATGTGCAAAAATTATTTACTTTTTGCTAATTAGGAATGACCAACAAGGCTTTAAGATTTTGTTAATAGTTAAATTATAATTTATGTGAAGAGTGCATTTGTTGTACTTTAAGAGATGGTGATAATTTTACTAAAATTGTACGTGTTATGATGAAGGTTAAAGTTGCTTTTT